AAAATGTTTCTTATATACTTTCTCTAAGATATTCTTGACAAACTCATGTATTCCAAAACAATTTGCATGGATGCTGTACAGAACTGGGGGAGACAGTATGATGTCCACAGCCTATATGGATACAGCATGGCTATAGCCACAGAGAAGTAAGTACAATTTCGTTCAGAAACTCTTTTCATATTAGTCTATGAAGGTTTTGGATAATTTATCAATATAGTTCAAAAAATAGAGTAGGAAAGAAGATAAACATAACATTGTGAGACTAAAAACTTATGGCATTCAAACTATCAGTTCTCTTACTGATATTCATAACTTTGAAAGTCAGGTATTAAGAACTAAATAGTATATGAATTTAACAGGGATTCTTTTTTAATTCATAGATTTTTGTTTTTCTTCAAAATTTTGATTTATTTTACCATCTATGAATACAATTTGTTCTAGGCATGAACTTCACAATTTGTTTGGGAAATGATGCTCCTATTGCAGTATAATATTTAAGTATAACATTTCTCAATAATATCCACTGTTTTCCAAACAATGCGTAAGGCCCTATAATGCAATAGTTAAAACCCAAATGGTGGTCTCAAAATATCTGTAATTTTTACATAATTAAACAATTGTGACTGAGTATTCAGACCCCTGTTTTTGTGGTCCCTAGTTAAACCATGATATAAAGTGCTTATTTACTGTCTTTATAGTGTTAGTTTACTTTTTACACTCAGCAGAGTATTGAATGTTAAGAAGTTTACATCAATAAACCCTATGAAATGATAAACACCACCCAATATTTCATTATGATAAAGACTATAATGTGAAAAAGTACAAATACCATTATATCTTTATAAAGGAAATCTGGGTAATTGTATATATTAAATTAAATTTTTATTTATTTCCTTGATTAGTTCACATTTATAGAAAAATTACCAATGGTAGTAAATACCAGTAGAGATAACACAAATCATTGTTAATCTAGCTGGTATGGATGGTGGTGAACTTCTAGAAACTAAGAAAATGAAATGTCTCTCAAATACATAGGTTTTATCTCAATATTACATGATAATGTTTAAAAATTAGGACATGGAAAGATATAATTAGAATTATTGCACTGGAAAAAGTGTATTGGGTTCATATTCAGATTACCAAGTTTTTTATTTATAAAAGGATTCAATGAATTTAAGTCATATATTTCCAAATGCTGAGTGTATATTAAAAGTATATATTTAATTTAATACAAGTGAATATAGTTATTCAAAATCTTGGTCATTTCAAAAAGATCTTCTTTCTATGTATTTGATCAGAACTTATATTTTAAAAATATATAGATAGCTAAATATCAAATTAATATAAAATTTTAGTAAAATAGTTGTAAATATCATGGCTCGCTGGGTATTATACAATATGCATTTGAAAGTAAAATTTTAGTATTTATATATGCTCATTTTATTTTAAAAATAAATTACATTGTATTAATATGATTTTATTTTAAGAGCTGTAGAAAGAGTCTTTCCTAATAAGAGAAGCTTCATCCTTACCCGGTCAACTTTTGCTGGATCTGGAAGACATGCTGCTCATTGGTTAGGAGACAATACTGCATCCTGGGAACAAATGGAATGGTCAATCACTGGAATGCTGGAGTTTGGTTTGTTTGGAATTCCATTGGTAAGGCAGTTTCAAACAATTTCATTTATAAAATCAACAAATTACATTCAAATGTTTACTATTATGATTTTTTATGATTACTGATAAAATGATCAGAAAGTATATTACAGAAAAAGTTTAATCTTCATGCTTAAGGAATAGAAAAGTAATAGAAAAAATATGGATAACACCAATAGTATTTGAACCAGTAGGTTGATAAAATATAACTTTTTTTGTTTGTAGCTTAAGGCATGTGCACTTTCTAGAGAGATACACAGAGAGGGAAAGCAAGAGATCACCCCCCATCCAGGGGAGCTTGGCCATGCCACAGTCCCTTCTCCTCCTGGGATTTGGGCAGAGCATGATTTTCAAGATGCCAGGTCCAGGATTTGAACCATGGTTGGCCATGTGGGAATCCAGCACCTTACCCAGTACACCACCTGCTGGTCCCAGAATAACAAAATTTAATCAAACCAATATAACTTGGGAAATAGATAACAGAAAAAAATAAAAAAGTTTGCATAATAAACATAAAGCATCAGGCAAGATTGTAGAAAAAAATATTTTGGTTAAAAAATGTTGAAAGCCTAAATACATTTAATACTAGCTTATCAGTGTAAATTCAAAAATAAAGCTTTATTCCTTATTTGAAAGACAAATGATAAGGACAGAAAATTGTTTAAAATATCAAAAGAAGAGAAAATGCATATAAAACTTGTAAATATAAAAACAGTAGGCAAATATCTAATCATATCACGCAAAAAAAAGCGGCATACAAGGTTGATATTTAAGACCAAAGAAAGCTACTGAGTAACTAAATATATATATATGAAAATTACAATAATTGTTTTACTCTTATAAATGTATGAATTTAATGAACACCAAAAACCAAATAAATGAACAAAAATGCTGACATACTCTCATACGTACATAATCTCGCATTTGGAAATTAAAAGGTATGTTATCAAATTATTCATGAGTCACATAATAAGCTTAAAGCAAGTGAACAAAGAAACTGATGTAACTGAAATATTAAAATTTTTAATTAACAACACTTGTAGGATTTAAGCTAACTTAATGTTTGGAGGAAAAACTTACAGTCTTAAATGCTAAATCAAAAACAAAGAAAGGCTGAATACTAATGAGTGAAGTGTATGAATTTTTAAAAAATTGAAAAAGAAAAATAGAATAAACCTAAAGAAAAATTTAGATAATGGAAAACAAGAGGAAAAATTAGTGCTATGACAGCCAAGTCTCTAGAAGAAAATATTTTATAATCATGATATCAAGGTAGCTATTTGAAAATTTGAATAAAATGGACAAATTTACAACATGTTTTGTCAAAAAAAGAAGAAAAATAAGCAATATGAGTGAATTTAAATATAAGATGCTATTTACTGTAATAACCAAACAATAAACAATAACCAGAAGTAAATATCAAACTTAAATGCATAACTTTTCACAATATTTTAAATTATAACTAAATTAATGGTATACCATGTTTATGGATAAGACAACACACTAGACTAGAAATATGCATTCTCTCCAAATTGTTCCCCAAATTCAGTGGAATTTTAATTTAACCATAAAAAAGATTTTGCCATGTAATGAAATATGTTACACTTCAAGGAATACAATACATTTTTAAAAAGTATAAAAAAATATGAAAATTTGCCCCATTAGATAAATACATAGTAATAACCCAATGTACATTGTGGATATTCAAACTGATTAACAAATATGGTAAAATGAAACAAGAATATAAAAAAATTAGTTAACTCCAGTTCTGTCACTGTGGATCAGTGAAGAAAGTATCAACTATTCATATGGACCACTGGTTATCCATTAAAAAAAAATGAAACCATTTCTCACACTATAAACAAAAATCATTCATGGGTGGATTGAAGAATTGTGTGTGAAAAGTAAATTTTTAATTATTTTAGAAGAAAATGTGAGAGGATAAATTTATACCATTATATTAGAGAAATACTTGTCATTTATTGACTGTCTAAATTGAAAAAGCAACTCACATACCGGAAACCATATTTTCAATTTATATATCCAGATAATTAATGTTCAATTTAGCATGTAAACTATAAATCTGTAGAAAAATTATAGGGCTTGCTCCATGGCAATGTTGTAAAGGGAGCCTGATTGCACATGTTTGACCTTTGTTTGAATCTTGGCTCCAGAGACCTGAAAAACATATCAAGAACAAGTTCATGTGAGCTCCAGTTCCATTAGGTTGGAGAAAGAGAGATGAGATTGCAGTGTGATCACATCCCATTAAGACGTGCTTTCTCTCTATCTCTCTTACTCTCTCTTTTTCTGGCAAGTGTGCATGCTCCCTGCCAAAATTAAAAAAAGGAAAATTAAAAATTAGTAAAGTATGTAAACAACCAATGCTACTAAAAGAACCCATATAGTCCTAATAAAAAATATAAAAATACTCTTCTATAACAGAGAAGTGTAAGGAAAATGTTAGTGGGATAGATTTCATACAGATAGGAGGTAAAAAATTCAAAGTGAAAATATTAAGAATTGGCAAGGTTATGAATATTGCAAACTTTCATGCATTATTCCAATACTTGTAAATGGTTATAACCAGTTTCTAATAAATTCAAGGTTATGAATAATGCAAACTTTCTCATTTGTAAATGGTTATAACCAGTTTCTAATAAATGAAAAAAAATTGTGTTTTTGTGTATATGTATGCGTGTGTGTATGTCTGTATATCTCAGAATAAGTAAATTTGGGACCAGTAGGTGGTATAGTATTTAATATGCTGGTCTCCCACATGGGTGACTGTGATTCAAGTCTCAGACCCAGTGGGTTGAAAATCATGTCAGGCACATATGTTTGTGTGCCAAAAGTCCCAGGAGAAGAATGTAGGAGAGGGGATTGCAGCATGGCCATCTTCTCTGGAGAGTGATTTCTCGCTTTCTCTCTCACCATCTCTCTCTGTCTTTCTCTAATGAGTGCACGTGCCCTATGGTAAAAACCTAAAAATAAAAAAGTAATTTTTTACACATTCATAAAGAAAACAAATTTTATTACAGCATTTTTTTGTAATCATGGAATCCCATACAATAAAGAACAGAAGCAAAATTAATATTATGTATTTTATACAAAAGGAAAATACATTATGATGCATAAAATATACCATTTATATAAAGTTAATAAGCATGTAAGATATTATATATTATTTATTGATACATATCTGTATATTTATGTAGATAATACAAACACATGCTTGTAAATAGGAGAATAGTATTTTCTGGAGGTAATGAAAAGTAATGCAATCTTAAGTGGATTCGTGTTTAAGGAATATCAACTTTATTTAGAATAACATCTCATGAGCTCGACATCAATACAAAGTCACACTTTTGTTTTTTATAATTTTACTCCTGTGCGATATATTATAAATGATAAAAATATGTGCACTTTAGATTAGAAAGCAGTGCATTTGAACACAATAATTTTTTCTTTATACATTCATTTAGTGATTAGATCAATAAAAGATAAATGAAAAGAAATGCATCAGGCCAAGAAAATATATAAAGAGGTAATGAAGAGTATTCAAAATAATGCAATTTAGAGAAAGATGGAGTAAAACTGACAAAATAATTGGGTTAAGGAAGGGTATATAAATACAGTAAAATAAAGATACTATATGCAAATTATAATCTGTTGAGGCCTAAAATTTGATATTCTAATAAATTTGAGAATCCTAATAGATTGATTTATTATTTAGGTTGGAGCTGATATCTGTGGATTTGTGGCTGATACCACAGAAGAGCTTTGCAGAAGATGGATGCAACTTGGGGCATTTTACCCATTCTCCAGAAACCATAATGCTGATGGATATGTGGTAAGTGCCTCTTGTTCTCCATGTTTCGAAAGAAAGCACAAACCATACTTTTAACAACGTATTTTAATTTATATCTATAGAAAATATGGTTTGAAAGATTGTAGCATGGTTTGTGGGTAGTAGAAGTCTTCTCCTCATGATGTATATGTATTTAATGTAAAAAATGGTCAAATAAAGAAGATTTTAAAAACAAAAGGTATTCCTAATGTAAATATTTTACTTTGTCTTAAGCATGTGTAAGTTTGTTAAATCTTCAGTATTTTAAATTAAAGCTAAAACATATGAGTTCTTGTATTCTAACAATGTAAGATCCAGGTAATTTTCTTTCATAAAACATAATATACTACTAAAGATCTTCAGTATTTTTTTCCTGCCCATTAAAGAACAGCAACATATTTAAGAACCTTGTAAATAATTTGTGTCCAGAGTCTTTCTATTATAAATATAGCTTAGAAAAAAATAAAACTAACACTTTAAAATCTGATCTGATGGAAGTAGAAATCCAAAGAAATATGGAATTATTGTACCAGTGATGGGAATTCAGTCTCTTGAGGCCATCATAGGCATATTTTTTAGAAGGAATGGTGAAATTCAATTAAACCATTAAGTCAGTTATTATTGTTAAGAAATTATTCAGTGTTACACAGTGGTTGCATACAGAGTGCTAATTCCACTTAAGAGGAATGACTACTCATCTTAGCCTGGAAAGAGGCATGATAGAACAGCATTTAAAGGTGTAGATTGGTGGTTAGCCATTTCCCTATCCACTTACATGATATTTTCAAGAACTTTGTGTCCAGAGATTATCCTCATCAGAAAGACATTGCACTCTATGTTCATTTCTGTTCTTCGAAAAGCAGGTGATGAGACAGGTTGAGATATATTAATATCTGTAATACTTGTAAAGTATAAAGGGGAAAAAGCATGAGAAAGAGCCTTCGGACTATGATCGGATATGAACCTGGTGAAGATGACAAGGGAAGAAAGAGAGTTTGGATGACAGAATTCCCCATGAAACCCAGTTCTATAACAGCTTCATTCAGCTCAGTCAGAAACCCACAAGCCAATGGAAGAGTTCTATACCTACAGGAAAATACCTACTTTGTATTCCTATTGTGCTCATTCAATTCTTGGAAGCAGTCAAAGGAAACATGGGTTTACTGCAGACATGGTGGTGATCTAGGGAGGAAGGAGTTGAGGTCCTCAGTTAATTTTAGCAGCAGGGTCTAAACAAGCTTGCTCACATCATTGTTCCTTGGCTGATAGAGTTGGTTGATTTAGTGTGGGCTCAGTAGGAGGATAGAGTTCAAGTTCTAAGTCTATGGGCTGAACAGATGGCTCTGTTCCCTTTGTTCTTGGGCCAGCAGACCATCTGGGCTTTAATGGCAAGGCATAAGACAGCAAATCTTCAGGCAGGGTCATTTCGAGTTGTTGCTCGAATATGTCACATATCCTAAAATCCATGGCCAGCATTAGTCACCTGGCTAAGCCCAAAATCAAGCAGTCAGTAGGTACATACCACTTTTAGTAGAAAGGACTACTGAGGCATTTGACAAAGGTTCTGGATAGAAGGTAGTATGAAATCTTGGAACCAATAATTCATTCCATCACTATTAACAGTTGTACAAAAGCTTCATTTTGCTAAAAAAAAATTTTCTAAGTGCATATAACTAGATATGAAATGTCCACTTCAAAATCAAATTTAATTGGGAACCAGCAGTTAGCGTAATGGCTATGTCGCTGGACTCCCACGTAGTCGACCGCGGTTCATGTCCCGGACCCGGTGGCTTAAAACTCACGCCGGGCGCGTGTGTGTGCGTGCCCAAGATCCCGAGAGGAGAATGGAGGAGAAGGGATTGCGGCGTGACCATCCCCCCTGGGGGGTGATTTCTCGCTTTCTGTCTCTATGTCTCTCTCTGTCTGTCTGGCGAGCGCACGCGCCCTACAGTGAAAATCTCTCCAAAAAAAAAAAAATATTTAAAAAAAAAATCAAATTTAATTAAAACATAACCAAATGCATAAACAATGGAAATCTTCAAACTCTGATGAGAAACTAGAGATAATTTGAACTTATTATATACAAGCTAAAAGTTCTACACTCTGCTTTCCAGAAATGTATGAAAATGCTTTTACTTTAATTTTCCACCATATTTTAGCTTTCTTATTTTAGTTTCTTTTTTTAATCCCACAGCCTCAAGACCCTGCATATTTTGGACAGAATTCACTTTTGGTTAATTCATCAAGGCATTATTTAACTATTCGCTACACCTTACTGCCGTTCCTCTATACTCTGTTCTATAAAGCCCATCGCTATGGAGAAACAGTTGCAAGGCCATTTCTTCATGAGTGAGTACTATGTGCAAGAACTAGAATATCTCTTAAAGTGTATTTAGACACACAACACAAATATAAATGAAAGTCAATCAAGTATCACAGATTTCTGCTGCTTGTTTTTGCATTTGTGCAAATAATTTAATGTACTAAATAAGGATATTAGTATATATAATTAATTCGATGGCTGGGACAAGATTGAACTAAAAATGTGAGAGTTACATAGAATTTACAAGGAAAAAGATATATAAAATATATTGGTGAAATTATATTAGTAAGATAGATTAATTACTCAATGATTGAAAACATATCAAATATGTATTATCAAAATTATCTAAACAGAAATTAAGAGTATAGTATAGTTACAAAGAAAAGATGAATTATACTTGTTTTTGTATATCATGACCAGAGCAGGGCTTTTGCTCAAGAAATAACTTAAAGATTCCATTAAATTTGGGTGGAAACTGAAACGTACAATGAACATTTTGAAAAAGAAGTTGACTATAAAATATTTCTGGTGTTTTATAACCTATCTTAGAGGAGAAAAAAATTAAACAGAATAATTCTTTATTATAGGTAAAAAAATAAACATCACCATGATCGATTTCAGTGCCAGAGGAAATACTTCCTCCTTCCTTCTCACCTTCCTTCTTATTCTCACTCTCTTCTCACTTTCTTTCTTCTCCTTTCTTTCCTTCCTTAGTATCAGATAAACCAGAAAGGATGTGAGAATTATGGATTCAAAAATGATTTATTAAACAAGTAAAATTAAAATTACTAATCATTCCCAGGGAAAAACTGAACAAGGAATCTGAGTAAGCTTATTTTGTTCTCATTAGACCTTCAATGTTGTCGTTGCGTTTTAGGTTTTATGAGGACACAAACAGCTGGATTGAAGACACTCAGTTCTTATGGGGCCCTGCACTACTTATCACTCCTGTGTTGAAACAGGTGGGTTTTATATATTTAGCAGACCTATGGCTTCAGGAGAGTCTTGTATGACAAAATTCACACGAGATTATAAAACATCTGGGTAGTAGGTGTTTTGAGGTCATCAACACTTAATTCAATTCTGACCTTTGGACCAAATTTTAAACATGATAAAACACTAAGTACCTCTGTGCTTATCAGATATGTAATATTTAACTGGACACAGCAACACTTTGTAAGGTTAATATTCTCCTGAGAACTATACCTTTTTGAAATAAATTATTTTGAAAACCAGCCGATTGCATAAAAGAGTGGAATGAATTATGTGGTTATTATATATTTAAAAAAAAATCTAAGTATCCATGGAGATATACAGAAATGAACATGTTTACATTTTAATGGCTCTGCAGTGTATAATACAGAAACAGGTGTGTGCTATTTTATTTGCCTCCTAAATTAATGTCATCTTTACATCTTTGTTTTACAGTCTATTATCTAATGGTAATAACACAGGTCTTTGATTAGTGTCTATAGGAAATATTAGAGTATAATACCATAGAGGGAGTTTTTACCCTTGACTATGAAAATTCAATTTAGCATTTGATAAGATTTTCTCTGTTAAGAACTGAAATAGTTAAAGAGCATATATATTATCTGGCTTTATTTTAGGGAGCAGAAACAGTGAGTGCATACATCCCTGATGCTACCTGGTATGATTATGAAACTGTAAGTAACCGTGACATCTTTGTGAGCTCAAAAGTATTATATTTTCAGATATCTGTATATGGCAACTTTAAACACATAGTATGTTTACTTTTAGGGCTTCTGTTTTATTATTAAGAGGAATATTTCTAGATTTGAGAAATTTATAAAAATTTCTTTTTTGCACGTAAGCTAGACTTTAATTTGAAGTTATACTCATTAGCGTAAAGAGATACCATTCATTTTAAAATTGTGGAAATACAAGGTCAGAAGTAATTCTAAGAAGGAAGGATAGGCTAGTCTTGGGACAGCATTTAAGCACTGTCCCTAGGAAGCTGAACCCCTGGTGGTCCATCAGGGTTTGAGTTCCTGCCCAGTTTGAAAAACACAAAAGTCACAAGCATGTCCCAAATTCTACAAGGATGGAGAAATGTGAAAAAAAGAATATTGAGGATGACCACACCTTGGCAGGTGGTGCTTCCTTAACCTCTCACTCTCTAGTGAGCTCACATGCCCTCTGGCAATGAAAAAATGAAGTGGTAACTCATTCTAATGCCATTGGCTAATTTGCATATTTGCATCCTACCAGAATAATTGAGTTTTGAGTGAATTATTTGTGTTGCATAGAGTATGTTCAAACACTTAAAAAAGTCTTTTTATTTCAGCCTTAGAAAGGCAAAATAATAGCATTTATATACACGATCTTTTTTTTTCAATTGACCAAGACCTTTTGAGGCCTTTTAAAAGGCATCATTTTGCATATTGCTTATATTTGATAAATAGGCTCTTAAATTTTATGCAGTGTTTTTCAAAAACCTTTTCTAAATATGTGGTTTAAATTTTAAAAGAACACAAAAAATAAATGTAGGGCTAATTTAAAACATTGTCAATTATTACAGAAAAGAAAATACTTCCTCTGTATTTTTTAAAAAGTATTTTTGAGAAAGCAAGCATATTTTTACTGCTTTGTTCAGTAAACTGAAAAAAATTTTCTCTAAAATTTAGAAAATAACATGAGAATATTCATTTGGATGACAAAAATAGCTCAAATAAAAATTGTTTACATGTACAAATTTTATTTCTTCTGAAATGGAATTTAAAAGTCTTCACTAATATTAAAAAGACTTCTGTCTTCCAAATATTAGGGTGCAAAAAGGCCATGGCGAAAACAACGTATTGATATGCATCTTCCAGCAGACAAAATCGGATTACATCTTAGAGGAGGTTATATTATCCCCATTCAAGAACCTGACGTAACGACGACAGCAAGGTAAGTGAAACATCAACTGAAAGATGTTTTGTTGTATTATTCTATATTTTTATTCAGAATCAGAGATTAAGTTTAGTGTTTTTACTACAGAAATATTTGATGCACAGAGGTAATTCTTACCATAACTATCATAGCCTTAAAAAGAATTAAATTATGTTTGCTCTTTTTTTTCTCACTTTGCAGTAAGGCACATACACTTACGAGAGAGAGAGAGAGAGAGAGAGAGAGAGAGGGAAAGTGAGAAAGCACACTCCATGGGGCTGCAATCCCTTCTCCTCCACTTTGCCCTCCTTTTGTGTTTTGGGGACACATACAAATGAGTCCAGTGTGCTTCTCAAGCCACTGTGTCCAAAACTCAAGCCATGTGGTCAGCTGTGTGGGAACCATCTGCCTTAATCACTAAGCTCATCCTATGTATATTATTACAAATGAATACGAATGAATTTAAATAGAGTAGAAATTTATTTTCTGTACCAAAAATTTACTTGTGTTCTCTTTAAAATATGCAAAATGGCAGATAATGTCTGTCTCTTAATGAAAATAGTAAATGTTAATATTTACTCTGTAAGTGATAAACATTTGTCAGTTTTTACACATTTTAATTTTCTTTTTTTTATTTTCAATAAATAAATATCTCAATGTTTTTCTTTCTGGTGAATTTCTTTTTAGAGGCTTTTTCCTTAGGACATGAGAGAAAGTGAGAAATCACTTCTCAGGGGGGATGACCATGCCACAATTCCTTCTCCTCCATTCTTCTCCTGGGATCTTGGCCACACAAGCACAAACACCTGGTGAGAGTTTCAAGTCACCAGGTCCAGGGTTCAAACTGCAGTCCACCTTGTGGGAATCCAGAAACTAATCCTTTCATTAAAACTAAATTTAAAAAACAAGTAGGAACTTGAAAATTCTGATGTTTCACTTTGCAGTAATCATTCTAAGTACAAGCTCACGGAAGATGTCATGTTGAATTAACATACTTTCTAGTATCTCCAATATTCTAAGAGACAGCCACTCTCTATTCCTTACCCTGCAGTGTTATTTTGTAACATTAATGGGGCCAGCAGGTGGTGTGGTAGTTAAGGTGCTGGACTCCCATATGGAAACTCAAGCCCCCTGGACCTGGGGGCTTGAACATCATGCTGGGTGCCTGTGTATGCATTCCCCAAATTCCAAGAGGAGAATGAAGGAGAAGGGATTGTGGTGTGGCCATGACTCTGAGTGGCGATTTCTCACTTCCCCCCTCTTTGTTTTTCTCCAGAGTGCATGCACCCTATGGCAAAAACCTAAACAAACAAACAGAAAAGAATATTGGAGATTATATTATTTACTTTTTTTATATGTAATATATCTATTCACTGAGATTATGAACTCTGTGAAATAAAAGACTTGGCTTTTCATAACTTTATCCCTCAAATCTGTAATAGTGTTTGGCTTATTATGGACTCTTTCCTATCAATATTTGTCTAGGGAACAAATTAATGAGTAAATGAATGTTGTCAGTAATTTAAGTATTTGGTATTCTATAATACAATTGACTATTCTCATAATATAACTATTTCATGAATATATTCTTAAACATTATTTATAATTTAGAATGTATTGAACAAGAAAGCATATACCCTGGTAAATGCGTGATGGAAGATGCATGATGTATAGAGCGATTGCCTAGACTGTATATTTTATAGTAATACACAATAAAAATAGTTATTGACCATATGTGTCACTTCTTTGCTCACGATTAGCATTTATAAAGTTACTAAAGATGACACTAAACATTTAAAAAATTTGTAACGTACTTTTCATGATTTTGTCTATAAGATGTAGACATACTATGTTCCAACTTAGGGTTATAGAGATTGACTTGAGCATTTATAAGACACATTTGATTTTTATTGTTTTATTTGAAATATTAAAATACATTGTTTCAATTTTGGAGGTGTCTTAAGCTTTAACCAATTTAGTGTTGTATATTTCGTATTTATTACTTTCAGTTTTTTGTTTATTTTTGTATTCGCCTAAGACATTGATGTTGAATATTATTAATAAATGAGTTCTATTTATATCAATGTTCTTATGTGAATGCAGAACTACAAAACTGGCAAGTCAAAATAGACTTATTTGACAGTCACTTTACTATTTTATTTTTCATTGTGTATTTACCAAATATTACTCAACAGCCGGAGAAATCCACTGGGACTTATAGTTGCGTTGAACGACGATAACACAGCACAAGGGGACTTTTTCTGGGATGATGGAGAAACTAAAAGTAAGTTTCAAAGTGTTCTGCTTTAAAAATAAAAGTTATTTATTTATTTCTTCCATGAGTAAGAGAGAAACTAAAAGTAAGTTTCAAAGTGTTCTGCTTTAAAAAAAAAGTTATTTTTTTATTTCTTCCATGAGTAAGAGAGAGACGAAAAAGAGAGAGTCAGAGAGAGAAGCAACCCCAATAGAGTCCTCACGTTGTGATGCACCCTCCACCCAGATCCGGGCACTTACATGCATGCCCAGGGTGTCCAGGGAGTCCCTGGTGTGTACAAACAGTATCATATTTTCAACTGTTTTAATTGATGGTCATAGTTAAAACTAAAATTTTGTTACTAAAACAAAATGAAAACCATTATATAAAGCTCTAGTTAATGTCAATTTTTTAAATTTAATTTGCCACAGCTTAGGGAATTTATCTTTCTGTGCTCACCTCTCCTATAATCTGAAAATATGGATTGTATGAAACAAAATCCTAGTTATTTTATCTTTCAGTTTTATCTGCTTATGAAAATGTAGATTTTTAAAACTACCAAAGAGATTCAATAATTTTTCCCTAAGATTGTGGTATTCACGTAGTCAACTAACATGTGCCTAGATAAATAACATGTATTTATGGGATTATAATAGAATTTTTAAATCGTATTTATTCTAGAGAATGGTCTGTTTACTGATAGATGATTTTTGATGCAAAGTGAATTCAGATGTAGCATTCACAGTTATTTATCATAAATCTTCTCTGTTCTTTTTATTAGCTGTAATCTTTCTCTTGATGAGTATTTTGTACCATTTACTGGATTCCCAAATTTGCAATCCATATCAGACTTGTGTGCACTTTATCTCTCCACTTGTTTGTCTAAATAACAATCTAGAACATAACCTGCCAAAATAGAGCAAGACCTTTCCACAGTGTATCTGCTCCACTTAGAGATTCCCCCTCGTCTGGCGATCGTAACTCCATCGCAACATGTGCTCAACACATTGGACTTGATGATTCTCTCACAGCTTAGGAAATTTCTCTTGTGTGTAACTGAATATGAATCTGGATCTTTTCATCAATTCCACCATTATCACTCTTACCTTTTATTTAAATGATTACAGTAACACCCTAAGAAGACTCTTGGTCTATAATTTTTGTCAATCCTCGTTTACATCTTACAATCCAACCAGCAGAATAATCATTTAAAAGGGGATCCAAATCATTACAATACTGCTCAAAATCCTCTTATGATTCTCCATTTTACTCAATTATGAACTACAGTTTCACACTAAGACCAGAGGACCTATCATGATGTATATTTTTTATAAATTCGCATGCAGGCACACACACAAACACACACGGTCTGCTCCTATCCGATGCTGGCAAATCCACTTTCTCACTCTCTCTCCAAGACCCCAGAACCTAAGCATCCTAGAATGAGCTCTTGGCCAGAATAGGTTCTAAACATGTAACGTCATAGAGATTTCATAAGAGTGATCACAACGGAACCCAATAATTTGTAGTTATCAAACAATGAATCATGTTGTTGAGGTAACATCCCTATTTGTAGTAAACAGGGCGTGATTTCAAGGTTACTCTTATTTCTCAAATGATTTACACATTTCCAAGTACATTCCTTTCTACCTGTAAGAATTTATATTAATGGGGGCTGGTAGGTGGCATGGTGGTTGAGGGCACTGGACTCTCATATGATGGACTACGGTTCAAGTTCCAGACCTGGCGGATTTCTCTCTCTCTCTCTCTTTCATCAAATTAAAATAAATAAAGTTAAATAGAATAAATAATTCTTTTTTAAAAAAATAATTTGTATTGATGATATGCTTTCACATAAGCCAAGTGGTAAGGTATGTGAAGACTATGACTTAATCTGTCATCTGCTACGTTATCTATATAGTTACTTGCATTAAAAAAGGTAGAAAAATCACAATTTCTGAGTAATGAATTTGTAAGTCAACAGGCAAACAAATAGTTCAGTTTCTGATTCTAAGTTTATTTTCTAGGATTATTACTTTGAGTAAATTGACGTTATCAGAAAAACTTTATGTAAATCCTAGGAGTCCCTTAATACTTTTCACAATAATACCTCCAAGTTATTTTAGTCTTAATCTTCAGTTTCTCTATTAAAGAGACATATTGATAAAAAGTTTTGTTACATATATAGTGCAGAAAATTATTGTCTTCTTCTATTTTTCTTATTCAAGTTTATTTCAATCTCATATTAAAGTTTATATCAATCTTTAACAAGTTTCCTAATTAGTTTATTCCCAAATAATAAAAACTAACTTTAAAAAAATAATTATGATCTGCCCTATTTTCCTCAGGAAAACTTATTAAATAGTTTAGTTAGAAAGAGAATTAAATATTTTTCAAAATAATACATTTATATGTATATGTCCTTTATTTAAGTTTTGCTTTCATTGAGCTTCCAGAAATATTATAGCAGTCTGAAAAATTAAGCTAGGCAGATATATATTCATTACGTCTAGTTTTAGGAAAACAATATGCCAAGATTATTTTGTCTAAAGACAGTTAAAAAACTTAATTTAAAAGGAAAATCTATTTAGGATGTTTCATTAATAAATAATGTATACTTTTCCCCATCTTTTTCTTAAGGGTTGTATAACTTAAAATAAGAGTAGAGAATTTAGCATTGCATTTTGATCAAATAGTTTTATCTTTTTTTCAGATACCATAGAAAGTGGCGAGTACATATTTTATACATTTTCAGTTTCTAACGTAAGTATTCTCTAGGACACATACATTATTTTGTTCATGTCTCGATTTTTTTTTTACTGTTTTCTTAAAGAATTATTTACATATATATCTCCACATTTCAATGGAATGTAATAAGATAACTTATTTAGTTATTTTGCTAGAATCTAACTATTAAACTATAAACAAATTATTACCTTAGCATTTTATATTTAAATTTAATAGGAGAGTTTATGATTATGAAATTGATGCATAGAGGTCCTTGGAACTTTTAAGGTATTGTCTGGTTTGAAGCAATATGCCCTTTAACATTTGAAAATGTTTCATTATATCAATCACAGTAATGACTGCTGTGGATTTTGGCTGTGGATGAAAAACCTATACACAGTGTTAAATTTCGAATAATTAATAGGAGTGATTTTCATAGATAATTGATTTCATATGTTCTTTTTAACCAAAGCTAAGTTATTCTTCAATATTTAGGCTGGAATAATAAGAGGTTCATATGAATCACATGAGTATTTTAGATTATCTACAAAAATAGAGATCTATGTCACAAATACAAAAAAAATGAAAAGAGTTACCAATGAATATACCGATATATCCTACTTGAATGGGGACAGTTGGTAGGAATGAAGACCTTATGATTATTTCGTTTTCTGTTTTATACCTGTAATATTGTTATCTAATGACTTAATATATATTATTGTATACTTTTTTTTTTCCAGAACAATTTAGCTATTACATGCACACATTCATCATACCCAGAAGGAACCTCCTTAGCATTTGAGTCTATAAAAGTCCTTGGTGTGACAGACACTGTTACACAAGTTACTGTGGCAGAAGCGAACCAACAGATGAGTGCTCACGGCAATTTCACTTATGATCCTTCCAACCAGGTGAATACAACTTAGAAAAAAAAACAAACAGAATTTTTGCTTTCCTATACTCTCACACTCAGGCACTTGGAAATTTTTCTTCTTTCTTCCTTCCTTCCATCCTTCCATTTTCTCTGTATTTACTGAGTATTTCATTTTAGGTCATCTCTCTCTATCTCTCTCTCTTTTTTTTTTTTTTTTTACTATAGGGAAAATGTGATTGCAAGAGAGAGAAATACCTCCTTCCCACTCCCTCAGGTGGTGGCCACAATTCCTTCTCCATTCTCCTGTTTGGACACCCACACATATGCACCTGGGATTTTTTCAGGTCATTGAGTCTGAGACTCGAACCACATAGTCAGCCATGTGGGATCCAGGTGCTTTAACCACCGTGCCACTGACTGGCCCATTTTAGGCCATTTCACTTTGTATTTAGATATCACCATTAAGGGGATTCCTTGCTAATTCTTCCCTTTTTCATTTTCTCTTTGATGCCACTTTCAAAGTCCTTTCTAATATTTTATTTTTACCATTCTAATCTGAACTCTTAACTAATTCAACTAGTGCATACAGCAAAGATTCCAACTGTTTTAGTTTCTTTTTTAAAAGCTTGTAATATATGTATTGATTTAATCCATTTTTTTTTCCAGTCATTCTCCTTATTCTTCCTCTATGAACTCTTACTGTCCTCAAAATAAATCCTGTTCTTATTGGACTTCAAATCTTTGTTTACACTCTTCTGGCAGAAAGCCTTCACTTATCATATGCTTTTTTTTTTTTTTTTTTGTCTAACAGGTAAAATAGATAGAAAAGGGAGTCATAGAAATGGGCTCTAATTCCAGTCTTGTTATCTGTGCATTTATACAAACTAATTTTCATTATCTTAACTTTCTCATCCATAAAATGTAATATTTAAATAATAATGTTTTGGGTAATGAATGAATGTATTTAAAATGTTAGAGACAGTAATAGTTCAAGAAAAGGAAGTGATTTTTTTGGCATTCATATTTCCACCATTTGCATAATGCTAAATGAATATCAAATCAATATAGGTAAATTCTTCATTTTTAAGATTAGAACATTTTCTTGCAGTATTTTTGGTCTACCTCTTAAGAGACTTAAGCTCTTTGGTCATCTCTGTTTTTCACTTAGTAAGTTTCGAAAAATAAATGTTGGTTGATTATTTTTTATTTAATATAATTTGGTATTGATAAAAATATATGAATACATTAAAGTAAATAACACAAATGTATTGAGAGCTTTATGAATCTAGCAAAGTTTTTTTTATATGTGATATGTATATATACCCTCTAATTTTTTTGCATTCTGCCTTATTTTCTTTCCTCTAACTTGTTCCTCAAACATTGTAAGTAGTATATAAAATTAGAGACAGAATTAAATAAATGTGTATTCCATTCCTATGATTCTGAGAGCCTCTATATCATGTAGGGGAGTCACCTTTTCTACCTTTTTCTCTGTACAGACTTTGAGGGAACTAACATGTATTTCAAATATAGGGGGAGATGTTGAGTATAATACAGAATATATACTATCTCCAAGGATTTGTAGCATTTGGCCCAGCCTTGGTGGGGTAGTCAGGGGCATACTGATATGCGGTGCTGGAAGACCACATGGTCACCTGTAGATTTAGATTCTTGGCCTGATCTACCCAAAACATGTCAGTCTCCGACTGGAGGGCTTTGGGAGAGAGATCATGGTGTGGCCAGACCCTGTCAAGGATGCACCTTTCTCTCTCCCTCTTGTATACACACATGCCTTCTGTTATGAATGAAATGAACTTTAAAAATAATGAGTTATGAGCATTAAATGGTCAAACTAAGAATTAAACACATACCTAGATTGAAAAATATTTTTTATCTGGGGGCCAGCAGATGGTATGGTGGTTAAGGTGATGGACTCCCACATGGTCAACAACCATTGGAGTGGTGTGTATACCTGTGTGCCGGAAACCCTGAAAGGAGAATGGAGGAAAAATTCATGGGGGATGATATTTCATGTTCCCTCTCACTGTCTCTCTCTGGCAAATACATGTGTCCTATGACAAAACCTTTTAAAAACTTGGTTTTTTTCATCAGTATTCTACAGTCTCTCATACATTTTCCATCTTGAGGTTCTAGTCATTTCAGTGTCATGACGTTTTTCTCCTTTCTATTCTGTTGTTCAGGTTGTCTGTTAAAATTCCTAATGATTTGATTTGAAAATTGTTGTGATTTCTGTATTTTGTAAAATGTTGAAATATTTAAATAGTCTGAATATTTTTAATATATCCAATGGTAGAAGTAATCTCTTAAAGGTTTTGTTTGTTTGCTTGTTTTTAATTTTTTCTTGTCTTCAAAGATTCTCCTAATTAGCAATCTTCAATTCAACCTTGGAAGAAGCTTTACTGTTCAATGGAATCAAGTTTTCTTAGACAGTGAAAGATTTACTTGCTATCCAGATGCAGATCTTGCAACTGAGGCAAAGTGCTTGCAGCGTGGCTGTGTATGGGAAACGGTAAGAAAGATTTTCATTATAATTCATGATACACTTTTCACATAAGCCCTTTAATGTAAACTTTAGAAACTGCAATTTTACTATTAAGTGTATAAACCACATTCATATTGAGAATCATTCAGTTTTTGAAACGAGCACTTCTAGCAATTTGTCTGTATCTTAATTAATTCACCAAAAATATCTTTTAGTAAATGCCAGACTAAATGGATGTCTAAGTTGCTTTCTAGTTACATAGATCATGTATTTATTATTTTAATTACATTTAATTATTTATTTTAATTTTCTTATTACATTTAAAAATAATATTCTATTTGTTGCCTTTATTAGATGTGTGATGTGGTTCAACTGAGAAAGACATGCCACCAGTAGGATGTCTTTTATCATCTCAAATTGCTAAAACTTGTGAAGTTGAAGCTGAGTGATAGGCCAGTTCTGTTCTACTAAGGGTGATCTTTTCTGGCCAGTTATTCTAGCCATCCATTCAAAAGAAAGATGATGGCAGTGAATGGCAGATGTTTCTACCATCCTTACTAGAAAAGAACAGGGAAAGCATCCTCTCTTGCTATGCTTGTTTTTAAAATTTTGAGGTTTTGGTTGCGTCATTGGATTTTGTCAGCAAGAACATTTATTTTATATAACCGGAGAATTAAATGCATGGGTTAGACTACTAAGGAGACTCAGGACACATGTGCTAGGTGCTCTGTTTTTGTCTGCATGTGTACGAAGAGGTACACAGACTCTTGCCTTTTCTACAAGGATTTTCCCCATTGCTCTTCATTGCTTGAAAGAGCAGGATCATATTTATCATTAGGAAAGATTAGGAAATAATTGAAGGAAAGAAGAAGAGAAGAAAAGATTCTAAAAATGAATGAAAGACAAATGGTGAAGTATTTTCTTTTCTCCAGTGACATCCCTTTAAATTGCAGCTTTCCAATAAAATCCATAGCCATCCCTTGCTGCAATTAGAGCATGTTTATTGACTTCCACTATCTAAAGGATAAATGAGAACTATTCATTTCACTAACACAAATCACTTCACAACCTGAAAATAAAAAAAAAAATTACTTTTCCAACAAATTATTAGCATTTTAGCACCTTAAAGATTCTTAGCCTAGGCCAGCAGATGGTGTGGTGGTTAAGGCTCTGGAATTCCCTCATACCAGACCTGGTAGCTTGCTTTCTCCCTCCTCTTTCTCTCTCTCTCTTTCTCTGACAAAACTCATGTAAAAAAATAATTAATTAATTCTTTTAAAAAAATTCCTAGACCAATTAAGTGAAGCTTTAACATTGGGATATAAGGCATAAAAAGACCACTAAATTTGTTGATGTAGAATGTAGGTTTACTTCCTTGTGTTTCTTTGGGCTGCACCATTTTCTTCATGAGTTTATCCAATGAATACTGAAGCCAGTTATGTTCTAGTCACTGCTCCTGGTAAACAAAATTTTAAAAATCTCTACCTTGATAGAGCTCATAGTCTAGTACATGAAAACAAATAATAAAAAATTATGTGTTAGGTTGGATAAGTACCAAGGAGACAAAATAAAGCAGGAAAAGGAATAGGAAATGAATCCAATGATGTAGTTTGGACGATTGGACAGGGAAGATTTCTTTGAGACAGTGATATTTGTTAAAAGAAATAAATGAAAGGAATTATTTCAGAAAAAAAGAAATATCAACCTGAAGTACATCTGAAATAGGAATGTACCTGACATAGTTCATAAAAAGCAAGGGGGTCAGTGTTTCTGAAACAGAAATAGTAAGGAGAAGAAAAACAGGAAATATCATAGACACAGGGAAACAGATCATGTAGATCTATCACTTAGGGCATCTTTAGGATTGTGAGTTTTACTCTAAGATAGGATACTACTAGAAAGTTTTGAATAGACAAGTGACAAGATTGAACTTCCATTTTAACGGAAACAAAATGGCTGCTATATTGAAAACAGACTGTTAGAGAGTCAAGGCAGATAGAACAGGAAAGAGGTTCCTGCTATATTCAATGTAATATAACACTAGCCAAGTTAGATTGAACCATAGTGGCAATGGTAGAATTATTAAGTGATTGTGTATATTTTCAAGATAAAGCCAAAGCAAATTTGTTTTTTAATTAGGTGTGAAATTTGAAAAAAAGAAAAGAGTAAAGAACAACTTCAAGGTTTCTTGTTGAATTAGAAAAATGGAAAAAGTTGATATGACCAGATACTGGGGCAACTGTTTCGTGGGAGCAGGCTTAGAGGGGGAGAGTTATATTTTAGACTAACCAAGGTTGAAATACCAAAGAGAAACCTAAGTGCAACTGTCCAGTAGTGAGATGTATTGAAACTAATAAAATTGAGCATTTTCTATCATAACTAAGATATAAAATGCTATTATCATAATATGTATAGTGTTTAAAACTATGTGATAGAATGACATCTTGAAGAATTGGAGAAACAAGAGTTCAATTACTAAACTCTGGATCATAACATTTACTCACAAATATGAGGAGGGACAAGAAAGAAGGCAGAGAAAATAGAAAATGAATTAATAGGTTGAAGGCAAAAGAAAATGTTGGGAAGCCAAGTGAACAAAGTACTTAAAGGAGAAGGAAAAGATCAACTCTCCAACTTATGCTCATAATAAGGATGAAAAGTGGAAGTTCATTCAGATTTAGAAGCATGGAAGTCTGGTAACTTTGACAAGCAAAATATTAATGGAGTGCTGGGAGGCAAAAATCTGGTTAGAATGAATTCAAGTGAAATGAAGGGACAAATTGGAGTTAGTGAGATGATTAACTCTTCTATTTTTTACTGTAAAGAAAGAAGAAAAATGGGACAATAGTTGAAGTTAATTAGGTGACAGCTTCTTTTTTTTTTAAGATGAGAGAAATAAAATCACATTAATCTGTTAAGGATAACCTATAATAGATGCAGGAGAGAAAAAATGGAAAGTTTAGGGAGAAGTGTCATTTTAGACAAGGAGACATTGAGTCAATAAATGAATTGAAACACCTTACGTGGAACCAGACAGATTTCTTGTAACCGAAGGTAAAGAAGTAAGTGGGTGGACAGATATGGTATTTAGTCCTGATTCTCCTTCTCGTCATGTTTGTCTTCATATTAAAATTATAAGGATACCCTTTAGGGTATGATAAGAATAGGAAAGGATTTGTTGGAAAAGAAAAATGCTACAAAGACCTTTCCCAGGATGATTGTTTAGCAACTTAGTACATGATAGGTAGTGGGGAGCTTACGAATTGAGGTTGTATGAAAAAGTGTTTTCAGTGATTGAGAAAATAAATGTTTGTTAATAAGGGAAGTGAACACATCGAAGGGTAAGTGACAAATAAAGACGGTATGTGTGGTTACTCTGGTTGGAGTACTCTGTGCATTGACCCTTATTTTGCTTACTCTGATTGGAAACCAAATAAAAAAGAAAACAAATATGTCTCAAGACTTAGAATAGCAAAGAATCATGGAAACTTCATAAATCATTGATACTTCCTGAAAAAAGGTATTATCTGGAACTTCATAGTACCTTCATGTTCTTCAAAATCATCTCTATGCACCTAATGCCATATTTGTACTTAAACCTGGAATCAAATGACATGAAATCTAAGGGTCCCACTGACTGAATGTCATCTTAACGCCTTAGATATTGGGGCCAGCCAGTGGCATGGTAGTTAAGGTACTGGACTCCCACATGATCGACTGCAGTTTGAGTCTTGGACCTGATAGCTTGAAACTTATGCTAGGCACATGTACATGCATGCCCAAAATCCTGAGATAAGAATGGAAGAGAAGGATTATGGCATGGTCATCCCCCCCAGGGGATGATTTCTCACTTTTCTTTTCACTGTCTTTCTCCTGGTGATGCAAAAAAACCCAAGTGATAACGACAACAAAACTTAGATCTAAAATCCTCAGAAGTGACATACTGGTTACAATTCCTTTACTTCCAAAATATATAAACATATTTGGGGAAAGACAGATTTGAGTATATAGTAAAGAAAACACTGAAAGATATATTTTAAATGTAATTAATTAGATATTACTTGGTTGACCTAAATCTTTTTTTTCAAATCTGTTGACTACTTAGCCTATATGTCTTCACGTTGTTTCTCTAAATTAAATAACCAGATGATTTGAATTCTAACCACAAAAATAGCAATGTTAATGGGAACTCTTAATAAGAAAGATAGATGGGATAACTTATAAAATGATACGGGGAAGTAATACTGTTCAGAAAGGCAGCGATAAGGGGGTCATGGGACTATTTGGTAATTTTCTAAAGTTAGCCATATTCCAGGTTCTGTTAAAACTCATGTTGTATATCCAACTTGTAATGAGGACTACAATATTTGTATTAGTTAAGGATTGCATTATGCTGAGAATATTAGACACCTAGAATCTCAGTGAATTCACCTAGAAACTCAGCGAGTTTTGCTGAACTCACTGAGATTCTAGGTATTTCATATTCTCAGCATAATGGTTTATATAGTCATTCCCTTTTAATTTGCCAAAGGCTCATGTGTTTTCCAGAGAGAGATAGGAGGGAAAGTGTCGTGGCTCTGTCGAGTGTGCCTTGAGAAGCAAGAGGACGCCTTCTGGACGTCCTTTCCCCAGGACAAATGAGAGATGAGAACCTAGGACAGCTCCTCAAGTCTGGGCAGCTTTGTAGCTGTATTTCAGGTACAACAAGGAAAGTAGAAAGGCAAAGGATGTTCCATTGATCAACTTGTACTTAAAAAAGAAATGATATTAACTATTCTTAAAATTAATTTATTTTTTCCTTTCATGAGTGAGAGAGATAAAGAGAGAGCGACAGCACCTTCAACAGGGTTTCAATGCTGTGATTCACCTTAGCCCTCAGTTAGCCCAAGATCATGAGCTGAATGCATTCAGAATACTCAGCATCATCTCCAGATGCAAATCCAGAACAACTTCGCTTGGGGTCGCCTCACAGACCATTGTATTTTAACACTGTGCCACCACCTGGTTCTACTGCTTTCTTTTAAGGAGCTTGTGGGGATCTAAAATTCTAAAAATTCTAAAATAGGAAATGTAGATGGTTATATTGTTTCTTCTAATAGCATAATTTAATAAATAAGTAATATGCTGAGAAAGGACTGTAATGAAGCAGCTAGCTTTCATTGCTGCAGTTTATCGTACTTTTCCTAGATCCCATCTCACACCCCCGAGTAGACCAGTTAGCTCTGATTTTTGGGCATAGTTTCTGATCTGGATATAATTGACTAGTATAAGAACTAGTCATGAAGTAAGGACTTAACACAGTTTCACTATAAGTGAAAAAAAAAGGACATCTTAAGTTCATGCCCTTCTGATAATTGTGACAGTCATTTTTACAACCAAAAAGCAACAGTCAATATGAAGAGTAAGAACAAGCATGAGATCAGAATTTTTGAATAGTATATTCATTTTTGTAAAGACATAATGAAGACTGTGTTTTAAGCTGAAAAGCTATGACGTTTTGTTCATCTGCTCTATTGTTTTCTCTTTGGAGTCAAAATACAGTCTATCTAACATTTAGTAGATGGTATCTCAGATTGCACAATAGGTATTTTGTGTTGTGAGTGCTATTGCATTTTTTTTTTTTTTTGGAGGGGTTTTTGCGATAGGGCGTGTGCGCTCACCAGACAGACAGAGAGAGACAGAGAGACAGAAAGTGAGAAATCACCCCACCAGGGGGCATGGCCACGCCTCAATCCCCTCTCCTCCATTTTCCTCTCGGGATCTTGGGAATGCACGCACATGCACCTGGTGTGAGTTTTAAGCCACCGGGTTTGGGATGCGAACCACAGTCGACTACATGGGAGTCCAGCGACAGCCATTATGCTAACTGCTGGTCCTGGGAGTGCTATTGCATTTTAATATTAAGTAATAAAATGTGTAAACCTAATAACATATCATTAACTCTAAGTCTGCTTTCTTTTTTTAAACTGTCAAATATTGCAATGCTTATTATTTCTTACAATGTACATGCCCTATGTTTTAGGCTACTTCTGATTTCAGAGCACCTGAGTGTTACTTTCCTAAACAAGACAACCCTTATTCAGTCAATTCAATTCAGTATTCATCAACTGGTGTCACAGCAGACCTCTCCTATAATTCTGCTAATGCTAGGATACAACTGCCTTCTGTACCCATCCAAGCTCTTCGTGTGGAAGTGAAATATCATAAAAATGATATGCTACAGTTTAAGGTATGTTTAATATAAACTATCCCAATGCTTGATTCTCAAGACAATAGATTCCGAATAGATTAGGTACTTGGATTTTTGACATAATATAAAGAGTTGTTCATTGACCTGACATTTTAATTCTATAAAAATAGAGATTTT